TGTGGCATCTACTGTCCTTAAAACTTTACGATTCCAAATGCAAATAATGTCTTAATTTCCACAGGCTGACTTCTTATTACTTTTAACGGAAATGCAAATGCCAGGTGTAGCTTATGTTCCTATAAAGTATTCTAAGGCAAAATCTGGATGTTACGCTCCGAAGTAGCACCACAGTGGATGAATACCTTTAGTTGTGCTGCCTCAGTACATTCAACTTTCTGTTAAAGAATAATACATTAGAAGGAATTAATCTATTAAAGCCATGAAAGCACCAGAATTTTGTGAATATGGGCTGTATTTCTTACCCCAAAGCTTTAGATCTGGGCAAACAAGGCCTGATAGCTACAGAAGAAAGCTATGAATATCCAAGGGAAGCAGAATGGTGGGCAGTCATCTTAATCTCATGGTCTTAAAGTTAGACTCAAGAAAACACGTATAGAAAAGCTCTATGAAACACATTAATTCCAGCTATAGTGGTGAGCAAAGGATTAAATTCCATTTAAACACTTCATATCCATGAATACCTATCTTTGGAAATTATCTGAGGCAGCTAACAGCAGAGTAACAAGGCAGCTCCCACTGAGAAAAAAAGGAAAGGAAAAAAATACTCAGATGAGCCTTGGGTAAATGCCTCTTGGTGACCCTTTGAGTTGAGAAGGCAGCAAAAGAGTCTGACCCTGACCCCACGCTGGAGCCTCTTTGGTTGGAAGAACCTCCATAAACCATATGGCAGTAACCCTCCACGGTAGCATGCAAGCATTACAAAATTGGGAGGTTTAAAATACTTAGCTTTGATAGCAGCCATAGCAGAATCTTGTCTGCCTTGTTCATCTACATTCAAGTGAAAAAGGCACCTTACTTTTCTCTGGGTGCCCATTTTCAAGGTCTGAGAATCCATTTTAAATGTCATTATAATTTTAGTTCTCTTAAGTCAAAGCTTTTTCAAACAGTAAGGAAGTATAAAACAAGGGAAAATGATTAATTTAAAGCTAGACTAGCTTCCAACACTATAAATTCTTTCCTATTCCTAGTAACATGGAGCATGACTTATATGTACTATTATTATACATTCTTTAATGTCATGTCTATTATTTTGAAAGCAATGGGAATTGGTTTATTTTCAAATGTGCTGTTTTTCGGATTAGCCTGGAACACGGCAATACTGAGCAAGGACTGCAAGTCTGAATCTGCAACAATGACATTAGTTTTGGTCTAGTGGAGACCACTAGCTACACTGGGGCTTATTCAGGGAGCTTCTGCACCAGTTTTGCCACGCTGATCCGTCTCCTGTTGTACGGCTGTGCTTTGACTCCACACCACATCCCATTCCTGCGGCATCCCTGGCCAGGTAACAGCACCCCACAAAATCAGAAATGCGGTGGGTCAACCACGGCAGGGGAGTTAAGTGGCCGTAAATGCAGGCGCCACTTGCAAGTAGGAAGGAACAAGCCCAAATGCACAGCACCCAGGTTTGATTAAATTAGTATTATATTTAGCTGAACTATTGAAGTGACAAGCATGGTTGTAACACTGATGTAACGAAACATGTTGCTAACAGCATTATATTTTAGAGAAATCTGGAGAGCTAAGAGAAAAAGACGCAAAAATACAACATTTAAGCAATTTCAAAACAGAGAAAAGATGACTGTTGCAACACAGTATTTACTTCCAAGTACATTTTTATTATGCTTTCGCCAAAGCAGAGATAACTTGCTGCCAGTGGTTTAATATCAAGCTTTTTCATCCTACTATATAAACTGATGTTTCTCCCTTGAAATGAAAGAACGGTGACGTAATCCTAAGATGAAAACTACCACCTAAGCAAATCACTGCTCCTTAGAACATAATGTTTTACATTTCTATTAAGATAATAAGGAAGTTTGTGTTGTAATATTACTATAAATTGGTCTTTTAGAATTAGCAATGCTCATATGCGTGTTAAAATAAGAAATACTCTAATTCTTTCTTTTCTTTTACAGGTTCTTGGAATCCCACCTGGACAAATGTGTGCAATGTAAAGGTAAAATAAGATATAAAAAGTATTGCTCCAAATCTACTGTAAAAGAAAGAGTATAAAATTAAACTGCAAAATTCTTAATTCTTGCAACCTTCTAGACACACTTGATGTATGTAGGTACAACCATGGGAGAATATATTTCCAAAGGGGAGCGAATCCATGCTCAGATATTATCTGAGAAAAAAATGCATTGAAATTCCTCTGTGATGAATAGACTTTTTTTTCCTCCTCAGGGTGACCTCTACCTTCAGAATATGATGGGTTTATTATGATTAATAAATTTCATTTCCACAGAGGAAAGGAACAGTGTCAGCTTAAACTTAAAGCAAGGAGGTTTCTTTTTAAATGCTAATTTTTAAACACGCCCTTGCATGACACAAAATTTAGAAGCTCACAAGGTTAGCAGAATAGATTCTGGTTTCCTTTCTGAAAATAGTAGGAAGGATTTAAACTATGCTGTTACACTGAAAATCAGTAAGCTAGTGCAGTCACTTAGTCATTGGTTCATTCAGTCAATATTATGCCAGTATGCTTATTTCTCATTAAAATAGTAGTGTTTAAATGCTTTGCAGCCTTTTAAACTGGAAATGATCACCCTAGATAAACAATCTACCCAAATTTAGGGCGTGCAAATGGCAAAATATTTTCAATAAATTAATAGTCAATGTGATTATTTGTGCATTTTACAGAATGTTAAATCAATTTATCAATGCTGATATGTGAACTCACACATTCTTGTCTCAGAAACACATCTGATGAACAACGTGTGATGCTCCAGTAATGAGAACAAGGTAAGTTCTAGCATTTTTTTTCACTTTGTCTGGAACAAGTATGCAGGATGTAACAGGAAAAAACAAAATGTTCACTAGCATTTTGTTACCATACTTTCACTCCTCTACTGCTAAATAGCTGGACCAACACATTGCTGGGAAATGTTTAGAAAATATTCAGCGTAGCAATGCTAACATCGCTAAATGTAGCTGCAAAGTTTTCCCCAATGGCTGAACGTTGAAATCTTGATATGCTCATCTTTACTCATGCTAAGTTTCAATTTATTCAATGTTTTTTTCACTACAGGGTTTGGAAGTGCTTCAGTACTAAGTAAAAGGATAATATATTGTCCACTGTAGAAATGGAAAAGGGAATTAAAAATAGTAATTGGTTGTGAG